AACGCTTTGAGAGATTAAAACCTTGAAAGAAGTCGTTCCCTCGTGTAACATTGCCTTCATGAGAAGAAAGCAAGAGCAGACCAATCATGAATGAGACCACAAAAAGAAGTGAGCTTCTCATCTTGAATGTGCTAACAACGTAGGCAAGAACTGAGCTAAAACTTGATCATGAGATGGTACTCCTAGAGATGTCTCTGTCTTTATATAGCAAACACGTATACGGTATGTGATTGGGGTCTTGAAAAAGAAATCTCATCATTCTGGGGTTTCCAATTTTATTAGCATTTTAAGCAATATTACTACAGAAAATCTAGGAATTCATCATCAACTTACCCTGATTTTGATGAAATTCGTCAGATTTGACAAATATGGGTGTCCGAAATCTTCCAAGCCCAAGCACGAATAGCGGACGGGGGAGGTCGTGCATGAATGGAGACTCTGCATCGGATTTTTTGCCATATAGAGTTGATATTTGATTGTTTGGGAGAGTAGTTGATGTTGTTTTTTATTTTAAAATATACTACTTTAAAATTTATTTTTTAAATCAATATATCAATTGAAGAATATCAAAAGAACAAATTAATTTAAAGAAAAAAAATCAAAAGTTTTGAAACACACACTGTTGGACCGCAGCTCCCAGCACCCCAAATCTGCCATCTAAATTCAAACTAGCATCGGCTGAGTCCAACGTAAACGAAACTGAAGGGTTTTTTTTTTCTTTATAATTATCAATGTCATGCTTCTTAGTTTTTTTGGATTTTGGAACACATTCCAAATTAGATTTAGATTATGCTAACTTGATCTATCAGGTCCATTAAAAATAAGTTGTGGCATTTGAATCTATTTTGAAAATAATCGAAGTAAATCTGGTTGGAAACCCAACTCAATTTTCACCATCTTTGGTGTCCAACATCCGTGTTTTAAAAGCGAGTATCAGGCGGGATCCAGGTTTAGGAGGACCCTAATCAACGTTCTAGGACTTCATAGTCTATTACCCCCAACAATGAATATGTTTAGGGCAAGTTTTCGCATTAAAACATAGAAGATACATTTTACCATAAAATTGAAAGCAACTTAGGGTGATTTCTCTTTTTTTTCCATAAAGAGGTCTAAATAAATGATATGAACAGACTTTTTTGATATGATAGTTGTCTCATAACGCTGCACATCAAGGGCGTGCTCCAGCTATGATCTTCAGAGGTTTAGATCAGTGATCCGAAAAGTTAACAATGATCAAGCTAACAAGCTAGCACCAACACTGTCTAACCCACATTCCCTTTTGTACTCTAATAATTAACAGCAGGAAAGCCAACTAAGTCTTCAAGGTTGCACGAGGAAGATTAACCCAAGATCCAATTGCACATGACATATACAAGTGATCCCCAGAATTTGTTATAATGATGTCTCGGATAGGAGTTCAGGCACAGGTGCCGATTCCTCTAATTCAGGATCCACAGCGGAGATCAATGAAGCTGACTGAATCTTGCCAGCATGCTCCAGCCGCATCAAAATAACTCCCCTGGAGAGAGATGACAGCAAACACTAACAAAATTACCATACAAGATTAGCCAAGTGGCCAGGAACCATTTATAGGATTAACTTAGCTCAGTTTTCAGTTATCATATTTCAACCTTTAAATCATAAACATTATCCCTCAAAATTCAACCAAGGCACTTCGGTATTTTTTGTAGCTGAAAGCAAAATGGATAGTTTTCACATCCAGAATTTGTTGCAAACCTGCCTAGCAAGAACCTATAGAGCATATCAATTCTGGACCATCAACAATCAACTCTCTTTCCAAAGGTGGTAAGAAACGAGATAATTTATTTTGGTTTCTTTTGGAAGAGAAATTCCTGAAGAAATGCAAATTTGATGTTTACAGGTGCATGGAAGAATATATTCCACTAGATAACATGGATAGACCCAGACATTGTTGCTGTCAACAAATGAGCTTACAAAATACTTTGGTATAAACAACTATGCATACCTTGCAAAGCGGGATTGTATTGAAATATCCCTAACTTTAATTCGATTGACAGTGCCACTTTGGCTTACAAGAACCACTTGCTCATCACTTTCACCATCTTCTATAACAGAGAAAAAGAAGGGAGAAAATTAGCACAAAGATAAGAAAGTGCAAGCGTAATCAATAGTATTATAAAAGCATCTACCCCAAACCACTATATAACAATACCTGTCAATGAAAAACCAACTGCAAAGACAGCTGCCAAGCGATCTTCCTCAAAGAACTTCAAAAAAAAAAAAAAAAACAGAGCAGAGGAAATGTCAAGCTGTAGAACAACTCTACAAGGCAACATTAAATGGTGTTAAAAGTTAAAACAATAGTACAACAGTCGTGATACCTTATAACCAATTAATCCAACTCTGTTCAAACGTGATTGCTTGAAGCTACTGAGGGGAACCCGCTTTCCATGACCACTCTCAGACACAAACAACAACCACGGACCAGTGCCCTTGTTGCTGTTGTGAAAAAATAATGAGAATCTTTTAAGTTGCAAAGAATTAAACATTCCACATTGTGAACCTCTTGCAAATACATAATATGGTGTTTTATTAGATGCTACACAGAGCAAAATCAGAGCAATTACTTGTTCTCAGAATCTTTTGACGCCACCTCCAAGTCTTTCTGCAGGGAAGCTGGTATTATGTCCATGCTTGCTATCTTGTCACCTTCTCTTAGCCTCATGGCCACTCCACCCCTTGTATTTCTACCTAGTGCTCGAATCTGGGTTCAGGGAGTCCAATTAGATAATAATATGACTTTGGTTAAAAGGAAAAAACTTCATACTGCAAGAGAGCTTGCAACAGCTCATAGCTTGAGGTTCATTGCCATGTATTGGTAAAGATCAAACAAGCAAAGCCATAGTTCACAGAAAGTTAATGCATCTTAATGAGCTGGAAGCAACTTACTTAATTAAGCCATGATCCAAACAACTTATGGTTTGCTTGGCAATAAAAAGCTTCATCACATAAACCACTTGTACAAGAGAATTTATGAAAAATTAATCTGGAAACTTGTTCATGTGCATGCTCAAGTGTACACTATTTTGACGCTACAGAGTGGATAGAAATGTCACTACAATGATTAGCAATATTAGTAATGACCATGCTAGGTAATATAATAAAAATATGAATCTGAAACTGGTCTCAATTCATCTCAATATCAGAGGAAAAAAGTCATGTCAGCATAGAATAAATCATTTCACAACACTATTGGTTCTCAATCATTTTCAAGCCCTTTCCACTCCCAACTGCTTTCTGTAATTCTTCAAACTAACTTCTCCACTGGTGCACTATGCTTCTGCAGTTACCTTTGGCAACAAATTGAAGGACAGAGAGAGGATGAAATATAGTGAAGGAGAAACATGTTCTTTCTTTGCCAGTATCAAGGGCTACAAGGGCCTAGTTCAAATGGCTTGAACATCATTAATTATAACAGGTAGAAAAGCATAAGATAACTTACATTCTCACAGGAAGTGAGGATGACCATTCCATTTTGTGAAGCCATGGCCACAAGATCACCATTTGTGCAACAGCGGACCCATTTTAGTTCATCGCCAGGAACCTGGCGGGTTAACATTTGAAACTTAAGAGCATACTTTCATCAGGGAATTGAATGAAACTTGAATGCTAGAGCAGAATAGAAGAGGACAAACCAATTGAATTGCTATGATTCCAGTTGAACGTATGGCTGAGAAAGAGTTCAAAGATACTTTCTTGATGTAGCCATTGACAGTAAGCATCAGTAGAAATTGATCTTCCGCAAACTCGCTCACAGGAATAATGGAAGTTATTCTTTCACCATCAGATAAAGATAAGAACTGTCTCCAACAGGAAAGGGATACAAACTTGAGACGTTAGAGAAATTCATTAATAAGCAAAGGAGAAAAAACAGTTATTACCTGGATCAGTGGTGTGCCAGCAGCAGCCCTGGTGCATTCAGGGATTTTATAAGCAGGAGCCGAGTATACTATTCCCTGATCACTGCAGACACAACATGTAAAGTGTGCCACAACCAATTATTATGACAGAATTACTTTTTTCTAATCCATTCAAGACACAGATCTATAGATTGTTGGAGCCTAATAAATAATAAAAGGAAAAAGCAGAGCAGTACCTGAAATATAGCACACGGTCATGTGCGTGACAGACAATGAAGTCAGACATTGCATCACTATCTCTCAACTTCCCAACAGATTTACCGATTGTTCCACGATTTTGAAGGTTAAACGTGTTAGGCTTCATCCTCTTAACATAGCCCTTTTCACTAATTGCCTGAAAATTATATGAGATGAAATTCTAATCCAGCAAAAGAAAAAAAAATGCATAGATGGAAGAATATAAGCATAACAACCAGATATTAGTCACAAAGCCATCAGAAATTAACAAAGCCAATTACCAGGAGCATTTCTTCATTTGGAATAACATCTATATCTTCAAGCTGACCACTATCAGAGTCCTCCAACATTGAACGCCTTGGATTGGAGAACTTATTTTTAAGCTCGACTGCTTCTTGTTCAATCAACTGGGGAAAAAAATAGTATGAGGGAATTGGAGGATGAATCAGAGCCAACCATAGTGAATAGGGTCAAAATCAATGTTTTCACCATTGTTCTAACACATAAAAAATGACTCAAAAACTACAACTGGCAAGAAAGCAAAAACAAATAACCTTGACTAAACAAAAACAAAGCGTCTAAAACATTTACATAGTGAATAGGGTCAAAATCAATCTTTTCACCATTGTTCTAACCCATAAAAATGACTCAAAAACTGCAACTGGCAAGAAACGAAAAACAAATAACCTTGCCTAAACAAAAACAAAGCGTCTAAAACATTTCAGCTCGCTTGCACGAATCTCAAAAAGAAAAGGAAACAAACATCATTTACTGGAGTTTTTGTTACCTGTAATATATTTCCCCTGCTTGACAGTAGTTCCTCTAGCTTAGTTATTTGTTCCATCAATGATTTACTTTCTTCAACAAACTTTTTCCCCTGCACAATCAGAATTATATCTGCTTCACATGATACTGTTTGCAGAATTGTACCATTATGGAATCTCATAGATAAACAGAATATAACCTAAGGCATGGTAGTCACCTCAAGAAGGGTAAGCCTTCTTAGGCTTATGTCCAAAATAGCTTCAGCTTGTTTCTCAGACAGGCTGAATTCTGCATTCCAGAATATGAATAACAATAAGCAAAATGGACTAAAGTTTCTTTAAGCCAATAAAAGGCATGGATACTGGCAATTATCAAAAAGTCTAGAAAGCTTGTGCTTGACGGTTAATAGAGACTTAGTACAGGTTTGAAACTTGGAAAAGAAAAATATGCAAAGAATTTAAAAACTGGAGCTACTTAATTATGCTACCAAGATTCCTTGTATCATTATGCATGAAGTCATGTGTATCCCTAAATATATTCAGTATTCAAAACTGCTGTTTGTTTTAGGCTTTTAGCTTATTTTCATGGTCAGAAAATAAGCAAATTCCATGTAACTGAACATCTTCATTCTCGGTTTTTTTTTTTTTGACAGAATAAGGATTCCAAAAGCCTTCATCCTATTCATCTTTTTTTTTTCTTGATTGCCAAAAAAAGCCCAAGAACAGTACACATTATAGACAGACTGACACTCCACAAATGCAAGTATGTACCAGTGCTGTGAGGGGTCAATTTTAGATCAGTAGGAATGAAAAGCATGGTCTAAATCACACATTGAATTCAAGATACAGAGAAAAGTAGCAAACATTTACAAGCACCAGAAATAATCCACATTATAGACGGATTGACACTCCACAAATGCAAGCATGTACCAGTGCTGTGAGGGGTTAATTTTAGATCAGTAGGAATGACAAGCATGGTCTAAATCACACATTGAATTCAAGATACAGAGAAAAGTAGCAAACATTTACAAGCACCAGAAATAATGAACTTGTTTGTATATGTGTGAACAAAGGACCAAACAACACCACAAAAATCAGAATTAATTGCATCAGCAAGATACATATAAAAAGCAAAAGAAACTTACCATTCCTTAGATCAGCGGATGCAATTGCATTGCTTGAAGCTTTTCTAATTATATCAACCACTCTATCCAAATTATCAAGCCCCGCCATGATGCCCTTAGAGCCCAAACAACAGCCATCAGTCATTAAAAAAAAGGAAATTTCACAAAATGAGAGGGCATCTCATGCAAGTGGTCAGCCTACTCACTTTCTTTAATGCTGCTATCATATGAAAAAAGAGCCAAGCTCAACTTATAAGGATTGGAAAAGTTTGGACCAAGCACACATGCATGCCTGGTTATACATGTGTGCACAAATGGAGGACAAATCAGGACATAGAGAGAGGAATAGGGTTGGAATAGCATGTTACAGCCAAAAGGCCTTTTATTTTGTCCAGAAAACTATGAATTACCTTAACATACCTCGACAATATGTCTTCTCTTCTGTGCTTCAGAAAGCTTGAACATGGCACGCCGTTCAACGACAGAGCATCTGAAGTTTAAGAATGCCTGGTAATGAAAAAAAGATGGAAAACTCTTCAGTTTCCAGACGTTCTATCATGTCAACAATATTTTAGATTACAGAAAGAAATTTCAGAAAACAAAAAAAATAGCTTTAGAAAAAATTAAAATAATGTGTTCTAATTTAAGAACAAATTGCTAAGGAATTTCAAATAAAACAATGTTAAAGTAGTCACCTGAAGCAACTCTTTCAGACCCATCTGTTTAGGTTGTCCATCAAGAATACTGTGACACAGCAAGTGATGCAAAATGCATTGATACACGACATTAGGCGAGAAAGCTTATCAAATTAGAAGTTTAAGGAGAATAGTAAATTAGGCTAGAATATATGTGATATTACAGAAGGACAAAATCTTCAACAAGAGATGATGTAAGAATATATTACTGCTAAAACCATTCAGGAATTGCATCACAATACACCGAAAAATATAGACATCTCTTGAAAATGTAATCCAACAGGTGTTTTGATAAATTTCAGAATTGTTTCAATATGCCATTTAAATTTCAGAAAATAATGTCCCCACAGTGAATCAGCGATAATTTATTTTCTCCTTTTATATTTTTTTTACATGGCAAAAATAATGGGAGTTTGAGTTTTGCACACAAGCGTACAATTATAGTAATGGGTTTGCTACATTCACAGATATCACCAGCAGAATCTTCCACAACTCCATGCAAAAGCACAAGGTTATAAAGGTTAATACCCATGTCATGGTCATATGGATCATTTACTTGCACATGCATATAGCAAAATGAGAAAACGAATGCACTTGTGACCAACAACTAACAAGAGGGGAAGTAACAGTAAAAAAAATGTTTCCACAACTTTCCTTTTGGTTTGTCTCCAAATACAGTTGCCAGGTCATCATCTCCAGAATCCTTCTAATGCATGAGATCATATGCCTACCATGCTGTTTTAAAAATTATGTTAATATTTCAGCCATAAGAGTGTAAGAATTCCAACCTGTTTGTTGATTATGTTAATCTAACAGGTACTATTTAATGGCATTTTTGTGTTTTTCTTTGCCTAATTATGTTTTTAATTTGTGATCTTTCAATATAGCCTTATTCTCCAGTTGGTTTAGAACTTCCATGGGTCCCAAATTAGAAAGTTTTCAGAAGTTATAGTTGCTTCTCATCATTTCATATCATGTCTGCCACTATAACATCTCCATCCAAATGACAAGTTTTGTCATCAACTACAGAATAATGAACCATAAAACAGATTAACATGAGTAAAACTTCCGAAAGGGAGGGAAAAGAAAGTATGCAGTGCATAAAGCTTAAACATTTAAAAATGAAATAATTCACAAACCACAATGTGTAAAGCAATATCAGATCTGCTAAATCAAAGCTAACTGCAGCAAAAAAACTGAATCTTGACTTCTAAAATACTACATACCCAACCATGTTGCAGCTAAAACTAGACTGAAGAGGAGTAAGACGATAAAGATTATTTAACACAATTGATGGATCTGCCCCCCGTTTCAGCTGTGTAGTGAAACAAAATAAATTAGTCAAAACATGAGCAACAGATGAATGTGGTCTATGAGTTTTACTGCTTTACTGCAAAAACTGAGTTTCTCATACCTCAATAACTACACGCATGCCAGAACGATCACTTTCATCACGGATATCACTAATGCCATCCAAATTCTGCAGAAAAAAAGGAAATAAAAAATTTGGTTACAACAACAAAACTTGCACACTTGTGATATGAATGATAAATTGGGTCACTTTTGGCCAGTGAAAATCAACTTCCATCCTCCATGATCATATGTTATGAGATCATATAGGTTTTTAGAAGTCATTAAGAGTTATATAGACTTATAATTGAAGATGCAGTTGTTAATCATTGATTGTTGAATAGAAGCAAGGAAATAAAGATGTCGACTATACACCAAGCTGGACAAACACTTGTTATGCATTAAAAAGAGAAGGATAGATTATTATTATATACAGATATCAACTTGGTAAACCTCTTATATTAAATTATTTTCCGGCAATACCTTATCCTCCACAAGTTCAGCAATTTTTTCCACCAGCGATGCTTTGTTGGTTTGATAAGGAATCTGTTTCAGTGGGAAAACATTAGACAAGTCTTGAAAATTTGAAAACAAGTATGTTCAGCCAGTACCAACAACAAACCAAAATGTATAACCTCTTTTATGATAACAGCGTTTCTCTTTGTTTTCGAGTCAAGCAATTCAACATCTGTTTTTCCTCTGACTACGATACGTCCTTGCCCAGATCGATATGCGTCTAAGATCCTTAATCAAATATACAGATATCAAAATTCATAAATAAGCATGCATCACCTTGCTTAATTGGAGGAAGTAAATGTGAAATAAAAATTTAGCATACCCTTGATTTCCCATGATAATTCCTCCAGTTGGAAAGTCAGGTCCAGGCATGTATTCTAACAACTCTTGCAACTGTGGTGAAAAATGCAACACATAAGAAAACCTTCTCTGTCTCTGATGACGATATAAGATATATATGTACACACACACAAATGCAAAGGAACCATACAACTCTAGGATGATAAGCTTCATAATTACATGTGTGTCCAAAGGAGTTAAGAGAAGTGAAAAAAAAAATCAGCAAGGCATAAATTTCCTTTGGCCAAAGGAGGTAAGAGAAGCAAAAAAGAATAAAATCAGCAAGGCATAAATTTCCTTTGGCACTCTAATCATATGTCATATAACATATATACTAATAAATAGTGCAATAAGTATAAAAAAAAATGAGGATCAAAAAGGGCTCGTATTCAGTTGTATTCCAAAAAAAAAAACATGAGGCTCAAAAAGGGCTCGTATTCAGTTGTATTCCCCACATACCCTATGTTAAAATTGTTTTAATTGGTCCATGTGTAAAAATAATTAAATCATTACGAAAGCCCAATTAGGAAAGGTAATCAAGTAAAAAAAAAATTGAATCCTTACTTTTTCAATAAAGTGCAATTAGGAAAAGTAATTAACATCCTATCAAAAAAAAGGAAAAGAAATTAAAGAGTGTATAATATGAATTTTGATGTTAAAGTTAAATATTTAAAGTTACAAAAATTGGGTGGTAGAGCATGTAGTAATGGAAAGAACAGTGAAATTAATTCTGGTATACTTTAAGACTGTTTATTTTTTAAAGTTAACAAAATTGTGTGGTGGAGCCTATAGTAATGAAAAGAACAATGAAACTAATTTTGGTATGCTTTGAGATTGTTTATTATTTTTAAAAATATTGAATAATTTTGCTAACAAAACTATATAGCTATGCATCATCATTTTAAGCAAAAATATTCTCCAATTTTTTAAAGTTCAAAAACATTTCTAATAAAAACATTACTAGTAATTAAATACTAAATTTAAGATGTTGTAAAAATTTAAGTATTTTTCCTGTAGCAAATAAGCAAATAAATATATTTTGAGAAAATAAAGTGAATTATGTGCAAAGAACATACCATAAAAGCTAGTTCTTCAAAATATCCCACGCTTTTTTGAAAAAAAAAATCTGGACTTAAAAACCTCAGCTTGTTTACAATTTGGATGGCAAACAGACATTTGTATGCCATGCATACGGCAAGATGATAGAGAAATGGGACTCCTTGACATTACCTTTTATACATACCATCTGAAGTCTTGTTACTTAGATTAGTGCAAGTTATAGCATTAATGCATCCTAAACAAGTGCTTTTGAAGGGCTAGCCAACTAAGGGAATTGGGTTGACTCTATTCTTGAATGAAATGATAAAACCATGAAAAAGAATCTTTTTTTTTTTTTTGAAAATCAGAGGATTATACAACTAGGAAACACTAAAAAATCCTTTTTGGAAAAAGACTATTCCTTAACAAGTATGAAGTAATTTTTATTTTGAAAATCAGAGGATTATACAACTAGAAAACACTAAAAAATCCTTTTTGGCAAAAGACTATTCCTTAACAAGTATGAAGTAGGAAGGCTGCCTTAATTGTTCATCAAATCCTACCAAAATATTTTAGACATGAATTGCACACGGAACCAGTAAAGAACATAAAAAATGACAGAAAAAGATATCAATGGATTTCACAAGAAAATAATTTCCAAGTGTTCCCAAGAAGTCTCAACTAGCAAACCAAAAGGCTGAGGTTTAGAGCACTTACAGTGGCTTCTGGGTTATGAATTAGGGCACATAACACATCCACCAGCTCTCCAAGATTATGAGGAGGAATTTTGGTTGCCATGCCAACCTGAAGAGAATGAAAGGATGTTACTTTGAGTTAGCTGCAAAAAACATATACTAAGAGGATGAGAGAGAAGTTGGAAAGCAAGAGCAAGTACAGAAATCAACTTTTAGGGAAAATAAAAGGTAAAGCATTAAAATTACCGCAATCCCAGAAGAACCGTTCAACAATAAAGTTGGAAGCCGAGTAGGCAAAAGTGAAGGTTCCTTTTGGGAATTGTCAAAGTTAGGGACAAAATCAACCTGCAAGAGATGCAATATAATGACTCAACACGATGTTGGGGCCAAATTAAAACATGGAAACCATGTAAAAACATACAATAGAGAATAGCACTCACTGTATCTTGTTCAAGATCAGCCAAAAAAACTGCCTCTGTAAGTCCCTGCAAGAATTGTACATAAAATCAACTGCCTATACTTCAAGGCCATTGTTTCTTTAAGCATATAAACAAGAATATGGGCAATAATGAACAATAAGATTGTACCACCAGTGAGTGCAAGCAACTATAACAAGCACATGAGAATAATGTACCAAAAATGTATGTTTTGACCTCAGGATAAGACAATGAACTGATGTAGTACATAATAAAATAAGAAGATGAGGCAGCGTATTAAAAGCTCAAATGTAACAAAAGTGTTGAGGACACCCAGTGAAATACAAGACATCGTGTGCATGAATACACTTAAGCATCAGACACAAATGAAACCAAACCATGTCAAACTTCCTAACACAAATAAATATACATTGAGTTACATTTGCTAAAATTAAAATTAAGTCTTAAAACATACATCCAGCCTGCACTCTGTATATCGCATGGCAGCAGGAGGATCCGCATCAACCGAACCAAAATTCCCATGCCCTTGAATAAGAGGGCATCTCAGTGAGAAATCCTGAATAATAAAACCAATTGTAACTAAATAATTTCAAGTGATTAGGAGATAAACGGGCTAGGAGATAAACGGGCAGTTTCAGCAATCAAAACTCAAAGCAAATAGCAAAAAAAGAAATATTCCCAATTTACCTGCGCCATTCGAACTAGTGCGTCATAGACAGCAGTATCTCCATGGGGATGAAACTTGCCCAAAACCTAAAAAATAAAAAAATGAAACCCAAAACAAAATAATCAGATAATAATTATCTTTGGTTATAACAATTATTGAGAGCTTTATTCAACAACTAACCTCACCAACAACTCTAGCACATTTTTTAAACGGCTTTTTCGAAGAAAGCCCCAATTCATGCATTGCAAATCTACAAATTCAAAGGAAAAAACACAAAATTAAAAAATTAAAAACCAACACCCGAAAATAACAAAACAAAGGAAAAGACAAAAGGGGGTCTCACAGAATCCTCCGGTGAACTGGTTTTAGCCCATCTCTAACATCGGGCAAGGCTCTACCAAGCAAAACAGACATAGCATAAGCCATATAGGCCTCAGTAGCCTCTTTATGAAGCTCCGTTTGAACAACCCGCCCATTTCCACCGCCTGGACTACCCCCATTCGGATCCTTCACTAACAGGCTCCCATTCTCACTATCATCAGTGGGGGGTTCCTCACGGCGGCGAGATTGAACAACTGGACGGATGCGGGGGGAGGAAGAGAAGAAGCGGAGGTCGGAGACGGAGCGGTGGTGGAGGAAAGAGAAATAACGGCAGGAAGGAGGAGGGAGACGGTGGAGAAGAGAGGAGAGACGGAGAGTGGAGGGGAGAGACATGGGGCTGCAAGAATTAGGGTTTAATCTTGTAAGAGAAGAGGGGTTCATGCCATAGAAGAAGAGGAAAGATTGGGAAAAGAAATGAAGGGTTTGGGTTTCATTGGGGCTTTTTTAGGGTTTAAGGATTTTTTTTCTCTCCGAATGCGTTGGGGATTGTGCAAAGCTGCCTTTTTTGGGGTCTTGCGCGCCAAGCTGTTTTTGGATATTAGATTGTTTTTAGTCCCTACTTTTATAATATGATTGTAACTTGGTTCCTTAGTTTTAAAAGTTTACAAATTAGTATATGTTTAGTAATGTTTGGAGATTAATTTTGTAAAGGTATTTTTTTAATTAAAAAACATTAAAATAATTTTTTAAAAATTTTATATATTAATTTAATATATCTTTAAGTGAAATATCACGTTACTATTCATAACGTATCACTTAAAAAACATATCAAGTCCAAGCATACCTATTTTTAAAATATAATTATAATACTGGTTTTGAAGTTAATGCGAAGAAAAGCTTGAAGGGTCGATTTAAAAAAATTTAAAAAGATAAAATAACATTATTTTTATAAAAAAGTCAATGAATTAAAAATTAAATTTTTACTAGATTAACATTAACCCAAATTTCTAACTAAGCTAATCATATAATTTTTTTTTAATTCATGAGTTAACTCACCGTATTAGTTCAGGTTTTTTAATTATGTATATAGCTTTACTTAATTTAATTAGGTATAATTTAATCTATTTAGCAAATTAATTTATCATCACATGGAACTTTAATTTAATTTTTTTAAATAAATTTAGAATAATATAATTTTAATTTAAAAATTATTAAAATTATATTTTAATTAATATAATCATCAACTCAAATATGTTTATTTAGAATTGTGGCTTAAAATATTTTTTATTTAAAAAATTAAAATAATATTTTTTATTTTTTAAAAAATTATTTTTTAGATGAATAATTAAAATAATTTAAAATTATAAAAAAATTAATTTTCAATTAAAAAATTAATTTTCTGAAATTTCGTTCCCAAAAATTCCTTGCAAAAGAGTATATTTTTCATATTCATTGAAAAAAAAAAAATTCCGGAAAAAAGCTATGGCAAAATTTGTTTTAACACAAACACAGCAATTTAGAGCGATACTTGGTAAAATAAGATAAAAGGTCTGTTTATTTTTATATTTTTAAAATATTTAAAAAATATATTTTTTTAATTAATATTTTTTTAATATTTTTAATATATAAATTTTAAAAAATAAAAAAATATTTTAAAAAACAAACTCACTTTCTGCAAATATACCACAAAACCTTTTTGTCTTAACACAGACGTCCCCATATCCCCATCATTATCAACGAACATACCTTAAAAACACACACGCAGAGAGCACTATCCTCTTCACTTGATTCAATCTTATCTTACATTGGAAAGTGAAGAACTTTGTTGCCCATTTCACTTGTTTAATTCTTTTTTTTTTAATTCACAGCAATTGTTAAAGAATCAAGAAAGAATGGCAATGGCAGCCTTCAAATCCACATCAAGAAGGGCACAAACAACAAGTGCAGCAACATCAGATAAAGAAACTTCAGCAAAGCAGCACGCATTACCAAGAAAAACAGTATCCTCAAGAAGATCAAGGAGTGTGAGTGCTGTCTCAAGATCCCATCTTGTTGATACTTGTTCAACAACAAGAACAGCAACAGGGTCCACAGATTTCTTGAATAAAAGAGACAACCCGCTTTACTGGAGCAATGTTTCTCCACCTGGTAAAGAAGTCAGTGAAGTTGTGGCTGACAAGGAAGAGTCTAAGAGTGCACCCACAAAGCCGAATGCTGTTGGTGATAGACGAGAAGGAGTTATGATAGTAAGTTTGAGAAGATGAGAGGTTCGCCCATGCGATCAGATGGATCTGCTGCAGATTTGGTACTGTGTCACGAAATGCTTTTATGTTTTTGGCATTGATAAATGCGACTTGAATTAAGTTGTTTAGTTAAATGATATTTCCTGTTTTGTTTGTTTTTTCTTTCTAGCCTTCTTTGCCTTTTAGGAGCTGGGAAGATGGAGGTTTGGGAAGCTCATTTTCAGAAGCTGAAGGGAGAACTATCAAAGCAGTCTGTGAACAAATGCAGGTGAGATCTGAATGGTGTCATGTTTAATTGGTTTGGACATGAGTGATTTGGAGTGATTTACGTGTTAGTGTTCTAAATGGTTAATGCATGAGATTGTATGCACACTTTTTATGTGAATGGTTCTGAAACATCAATGGATAAGATGCATGATCCTAATGTAATTTTGGTTATGACCTCATGTTGCAGTCATTCCAAGGGGATGATTTGGGAGATGACACCTCTAGTCGAATATATGAAACTGTTCGGTCTGAAGTTAGACGTGCCATTGCTGACATCCAAAATGACTTAGAAAGTGTAAGTTCCCGTGGTTCATGGGTGATAAATGTTTAGTTCTTAAGTGATTTCAGTTGTGCTGCTGCTTTCATGCAGGATTTCCTTCAAAAAAAAAAAAAATTCTTTGATGTCTATTATAATGCTTTACTAGTTATGAATGTTTGACTTAAGTTTTGCCAACAAGTGTTGGCATGCACTTATTTCAAGAGTCCTTAGTTCCTGACCTGCTAACCTGGAACATGACATATTGGCTTGACTCTTTGATGCAAGGATGTTAAATTTCAGGAGCATCTGCTGGATTTTCCTTGACTCTTTGGTCAGTAAGTTGGATATTTGATGCAAGGACGTTAAATTTCAGGAGCATCTGCTGGATTTTATTGTTCCATTGTTTTTCTTTTCTGGGAAAATGTGTTATAGGCTGTGTTCACTCTACCATGTCTTCTTTTTCTGTGCCTACATGGCTATAGTCACCTGCTCTAATTGCCGTTTGCACATTTGATTGCAGTCTTCATATTTTATTGCTTGCTTCCATGTTATATGCTTGTTCATGATTCACTCTGAACTTTGTTTTGAGTTCAGACTATCCGAAGGAGTAACACTACCACTATTGCAATGTCCAATGTGACTGATATTCCTCCTGATCTAGTCAACCCAAGTGCAGTTGAATTAGTTTTGGACATCAGAAGAGAATATGCCAATAAGCTTGAGCAGGTAAGTTTTACTCCCTTTCAGCTGAGATTGTGATTGAAAAGTCAGATTAACCATAGGCTCGCTTTCAACTGAGATTGTGATTGAAAAGTTAGATTAATCATAGGAAACCATTATAAAGTTGCTAACCTCTGACATTTGCTCGATTTGAGCTGGTGTGTGTGAGATTCTTGTTTCAAATTAAGTTAGGGGAAACTTTACATGCATAGTTGATGCTTGTGTTTACAATGTGCTTTGTACCCACTGTACTACTGAGTGGAGTAAGGTTTTCTTCGAAGAAAATCTATGATTGTTTTGACCTGATCAAATTTATGTAGAGATGAGTTTAAAAATGGTCGGTGCATGTTTTCTACTTATCCTGCCACTTGATGAACACTTAAAAGCTCAAGAGAGGAGGGATGGGATTGGGGTAGGTTCTAGATTCAAATGTTAGAAATGACAATGACAGGAGGGGGTGGGGGTTGCTCTTGTTTCCTTGTTTTGATAAATAGGCACCAAGATCCATAATTTCTGTGATGTCATGTTTGTGGTGCTTTATGCTTATTCGTTTCTCTTCTATAATTTAGTTGGATCAGACACCTGCAAATCAGATCTCTTTTTAACTTGCAGTCCCATGAACGGGCAAGGAAGCTTCGAGCAGACCTGGCTGTCGAGGAGCACCGTGGTTCAGAGCTTAGTAGAATATTGAAGGAAGTGCTTCCACATCCCAAGACGTCAAATGTGCAGAAACCCCGTGCTGCAAGAAAGGTACATCTTTTTTGTAGCACCGTGGTTCAGAGCTTAGTAGAATCTTGAAGGAAGTGCTTCCACATCCCAAGATGTCAAATGTGCAGAGACCCTGTGCTGCAAGAAAGGTACATCTTTTTTGTATTTTCGCGTGTGTGGCTTTCATGCAAGTATATTTACACTAGATGCATTAAAAAACACATTTAGCATTGATGTAGAACAGAAGGAGAAAACAGTTGAATATGTTTAGTTAGGGACAATATCCCACACATCCAGTCAATATCCTTCTGAATCCAAGTTTACATGTTCCGCATATGGTTGATATTCTAAAATATGGAACTTGGTTATCCATGCTTTCAAGTAAAGAGACTAATTGTAATTTCTATCTTATCTGGTTCTGACCTGTCTTGCTCTCCCCCCGTCCCCCTGAAAATCGTTGGCTTAGAGAGATGGTTTTGATAATGATATAGGCCATGTTTTTTCATTTCATTCACATTAAGGTTCAGCCTCCACATGCTTAGTGGTTGGGAAGTTTCAATGTCATTGTTTTAACTGTTTTTTTGTTTGTGCTGCTCCGATGACAGTCCAGCATTGAAAGAAGGAAGGTGTCAAAACGATTAACAGATGAAGCCATGGCTTATTTTGATGAATGTGTGTCGCTGTCAACATTTGATAGCTCTGACTTCTCATCGCCAGAGGATCCACCAATAAACTTTGTTGGTGTTGCTTCCCCTGTTGGTGATTGTGCATCCTTTTCCCAAGCAAGTTCTAACGCTGCAGCAAACTGCTATCCCAACAGTTTCACTACCAATAAACAGGTTTTTTGCCTCTCAACATTCATATCTGTTATTTTTATTCTGAATAATGTAGTTGGCTGAATGGTGATTTATTTTCAAAAGATAGTGATGCCATCTCATTTTAAACTTAATTCCTTTGCTTCGTGGAGGTGTTTGTTCTTCATGTCCTGTTCTTTGCTTTGTCTGTTTTATTTTTCCTTCTAGAAAAAAAAAAAAAACCTGTATGACAACGAAAGTGATAAAGGAGTATATAAGCACCCACATACATCATGCACGGTTATGTTAGAGGAACAAGAGTAGAATCATCCTGCCTTGCCTTTGCTTTCTGGTTTTTGTTTCCTTCTAGAAAGGAAGGTTCAAGACAGTGAGGTTGAATATAAGCGTCCAGACACTGCATTGCAATGTTATGTTGGAGAAACGAAAGTAGAATCTTAGCCTAGTAATAAATTATGTTAATGCTTTCAGGAATTGGTTAGTGCACATAGCCACAGTGCATCAGTGTTGTCAGCCACTGGAAGCAGCAAGGAGCCTACTCTGGATGAAGTCATTCTAAATCGCTCAGAAACACCATACGGTCAGAGGTTTCAGTTTTCTTTTGCGTGCAAGCGAAATGATTCCATCGAAGTTCAGCAGGATATTAGGAAGTATGTCAAAAGCTTTGAGAAAGACATGGAAAAAACTGGCGTCAGTTCAAAGATTTTAAGATCAAATCACTTCGATCTGGATGAATATAATTCGCAGGCCTCGAGGCAAAACTTTTTATTTGACACAGCGTTCCTTAATAACAGAATTCAGCCGGGTAGTATGCTACTATGTGATGGAGGCATGGGAGTTTCATTTTCTCCTTTTGCTGCCGTAATCTAAATGATGTGTTTAGATTCTTACAAATTCATTCTGACCATCTGGAATGTGGACAACTTTTGTAAGCCATGGGGTTATAGTCTTTCAGACATGTGATATACGTAGAAAAGCAATAGGGTTAGTCTTTCAGACATGTGATATACGTAGAAGGGCTGAGAGCCTGAGACCTCTAACTAGGGCCCCTAAACAAGCGTGTTTTATGAAAAAGGGTTCCTTCAAGCACGTTCTGTAGTTGCCTGTAAGCTCATATTGTGATTTTAAGCATGGGTGTTCATAAAAAAAAAAATGCCCCCAAGTGCAGCATGTAATATTTGCATCACTCAACCTCATCCATCAAAAATAATATTACAGATAAAAGTAAATAAATAAATTTAATAAATAAATATTATGAGTATTTATTACTATTCGGGATTTTTTAAACTTGATTAACTAGATTTAACTTTTTTTTTATATACCATTTGTTTTGTCTTCGACTTTAAAATTGTTTTTTTATTAGATTTATTTAATATAATAAAACAGGAGCTTGTTTATTGGAGAAGGGGATAACTAATATTTAATAAAATTATTTCTATATATGATAGTTTTAGAGTTAATTTGTGTTTTTTTTTTAATAAGAATAAAGAGATATGTAATATATGTTCCAATGATTTTCAATTCTTCCATCTCAAAACAAACTGAACGTTATGAATAAGAAAAGAGTGATGAAATTGCTAATTTTATAACAGATTCCATTTTTGTTTTCCAGGTTGCTGTGTTGTTTCCATTAACAATAAAAAAGGAAAAACAACGATATAGGAACTGGCAATGATTTCTACTTATGCCTGCCTGCCTGCCTGCCTGCCATTGAGCGTGGACCATGCGATCTTTGGTACCTTGTCATGGTTCGTGTCCCAGTGGTTCTGTAGTAACAAGAACAAAGACCAAGGGCATGAATTTAACTTTGACACCTCTGCGGATATGTCCTCACTCACACGTCCCTTGTTAAGGAGCGAAAGCTCACCAAAGTAACTGACACACAAAGCCAACCCATCAGCAGCAACAAAAACCAGTAAAAATCAAAATAAAAATGCAAATCACTGACATATCTCTTTCTTTTTAGCCCCTGCAGTCATTTTTATATTGAACAAGGAGATGGTTAGTTGTGGGAGAGAAGAAGAGATTCTCTCAAAAACAAACTTACTGTAGAGGCAGCAAATCCTTATTGGTAGCATGGCTGCACGTATTAGCCAAGTGTTAGGCCTCAGATTTAACTCAAGGTTAACTAACCCAGCTCAAAAATCCTTAACCCCGTGTTGGGTTATAAAGTTAACCCCCAAGAAACATGCTCTAGTCAAGTGGCCTCCTCTCCACTCCTCCCCTGTCTTGGTTCTGTGTGTTATTTTATTACCTCTCACCCCCGCTTCTTCCCTTTCCACTGTCTCTCCTTGTTTTGGTAAACCACTTTTGGTTGCCAAAATACACTCCTTCCAATTCCCAAAGTCACAAAATCTAAACTGGAGTAGGAAAACAAGGGAGACCTCACGGGTTAATTAATATAGCAGAGACCCATCTTTTTTCCTCTGACAACTCTTGCTTGCATTCCATCATATTTTGTGCTCTCACGTTGCCAAAAGAAGAAGTAAATGAAGAGGTCTTCCTCCTGCTCCTCCTCCTCCTCCTCCTCCTCCTCATCTTCTTGTATTGCCTCTGAAAGCATTCAGAAACCAAAGCCCAAACGCATTAGAAAGAATCAAAAGAGCAATCAAGGCAAATCCCAGAATGCTGCTGCTAATAACAGTCATAACTCTGGCAAAAGAAGTTCCATTTATAGAGGAGTCACCAGGTACCAAAACCTTGCTCAAGTGTGATTTTTTTTTTTTCCTTCCTGTGGGGTCTTCAAAATTTGCATGTGTGACATGCTTTGTTGATTGATCAAGAACAGACATAGATGGACAGGAAGGTTTGAAGCTCATCTTTGGGATAAGAGTTCATGGAACAGCATTCAAAACAAGAAGGGAAAACAAGGTGAATTTTGCTTAATTAATTAAAGATTAACGAAAACCAAGGAGATCTATAATCTTTTTTTATATTTTTTAATTATATATTTTTAATCCATCTTCTTACGTGTTCTGACCATGTTTTAATCTTTAAAATCATCCCTGTCACTGCAACTTTCACATTCTGCTGCTTAGTTTATTTGGGTAAGCACTCCACCTTAATGATCTCAATCTATTTTTTATATACATAATAATAAGAATCCCTTTTCATTTCCTTAAAACAAAGATCATGGGTCCTGATTGTATGTAACACGTAGGTGCCTATGATAATGAGGAGGCAGCCGCACACACCTATGATCTAGCTGCCCTAAAGTACTGGGGGTCAGAGACAACCTTGAATTTTCCGGTAACCTCACATTGTTTCTTTGACTTCTTTTTAAGCTTTGACCATTATCAACATCCATGTACTTTCTTTTGGTGTTTTCTTTGAAATCGCTAAGTTACATTTTAAATTATTACATGGATCCGGCGCAAGCATGTGGGCCATAACTTTCAAAATGAGTGTTTCGGATTTTGGTAGCTATGCGGTTATGATTTGAAATGAAAAGATTAATTTTTTTTATAAATTATAGTTTTTTCTTAATTAAGTTGTAGTTTTTACATATACATATATATATATATAATTTACGTTTAATCAATAAAACTAAACGGGATTAAAGGTGTGATTAGAGCAAAACACGATTTCAAAGCCTATTTTGAATATTAATTGGTGATGATGATGATGCAGATAGAAACATACACAAAAGAGATCGAAGAGATGCAAAAGGTGACTAAAGAAGAGTACTTAGCATCTCTTAGACGGCAAAGCAGTGGATTCTCCAGAGGAGTCTCCAAATACCGTGGGGTGGCCAGGTAAATGCCGCTTTTCTCTTGCACTTTATTTCACCAATCGACTGATTACAATTTAAGTACTTTATTTTTGGCATTGGTTATAATCGATGTGACTGGCTTGGCTTGGAATTTGACAGGCATCATCATAATGGCCGATGGGAAGCTAGAATTGGACGAGTTTATGGGAATAAGTATCTCTACCTTGGAACTTACAGTACGCTCCTCTCCCTCATTTTACTGTGACCATGGAAACTATACCTTCTTAGCATGAGATAGTAACGATTTGCTGTTTTTCCTGGATTTGGAGAATGCATGAATGAATGTATACTTTAGGAAGAATACAACTTGGCTTTTGACTTTGCTTTTTTCTCCAAAGTCCTCCCAGATTGGAAAATTTGGTTTGAGATTTGATGACAAAAATTATTATTATTATTATTATTATTTATCTCGACTCGAATTGACAAGCTCTACCGATCTTGAAGAAACTTTTAGAAAGGCGGATTTCTTTTGGATGAGTCGAATAGTGGAGTCCCATTTTGGATTTGCATTAGAAGCAGGATAGGACGGGCAACTTTTATGCTGGCTGGATGCCAAATTCAAAGCTGTCAGTGTGAGTCCACTCAAGCTAACGTGGCACAAACCCTTTTCTCATGCTGTCAAAATGGCAGGTTCTGTGATAAAAATGTTTGTGGGGGACTAAATTGGAAACAAGCTTTAAGGTTTGATATCTATGAACTGTTTTTTCAGTTTACAATAGTAGCACCTGCAAATGCACCAGGGCCCAGGATTAGATTACCGTTTTAGATGCTAAAAAGGATTAGATTTTTAGATCACCATGCCACGCCGATTACTAAATTAGTATAAGACGTGACGCCCACAATTCAATTTCCATCAGTAGGTCAGGTGACACGCCCTTACCATGACTAAAATGGGCGTGTCAGTTTTGTCAAAAACCCTAGATCTTTAATCTTTTTGCTTGCAAAAGCCTGGGGCATTCCATCGCTAGTGCAGGGACCAATGCTAGGGTTCATCAAGAAAATTGTGGGGTGCATCCTTAGGCTTGAACATCTACTACAGGGTAAGGCTTATATGCCCACAAATTAGGCATTAACTAGCCACCTTAGTGGCCCTTGTTAATGGTGTCGGCCTCTGGTGACCCCCATGGCAGGCCTAGATTGCTTATTAACGAGGAGAGATGGCAGTCGAAGGCGGATTGATGGTGGTGGCCTTAAAGTCAGAACATTTTCATTTTGTCTCTTTGCATTAGAAGAGAATACATGGCCACATGGGTGGGGTAGCTTTCACACCATTTTTGGTGCAAGAGTTGGGGTAAACTATTTCCTGCCTTTATAGATTCAGCGACTTTCCACTTTGGTCCTTGTAGTTTAAGATCACTCAGTTTTGATCTTGTAGTTTCCAAGGATTTCCAATGCGATCCCTGGAAGTTAAATAGCCAGCACAAGCTAAACTGCTAAAGTCACTCTGGGCCCTCCTTTGTGAATTCTTTTATCGGGATCTGAGAATTTTTGTGGGATGTTATTGACATGCATGGGAGTTTGGAAGATAAAGAAGGGGGAGATGGGCATTTTGTTAGGTTTAGTTAGATACATGATGGCTATATGCCTAGGTTTGAACTCTTTCAAAACTGCAAGATTAAAATTGGGAAATTCAAACTACAAGGGCTGAAATGGAATGTTCACAAATCTATAAGGGCTATAAAAACTTTTCCCTTGGTACTAACCACAAAAGCTTCACCAAAAAGAGGATCGATCACCTAGAAGAACCCCATCAAAAAATTTTCAAAAAGAGAGAAAGGCTAGGTGGCGTGGAGCTTTACAAACTTGGAAATGGACAATCTTTTTGGTTGAAAAACTTTGAAGTACGGCTGATTCTTGATGCTGTACTTGTCTAATTAAGTAGCAAGGTCTCATTCAACAACTAGCTAGGGCACGATCAAGGGAACTAACTCGGTTAGCTTTGTTGCTTGGTATATTTTTTTTAATACTCCAAAAGTGAGATTTGAATGCAATTATTAAAATACTATGCAGTAAGCATGTGAATTCCCAATCTAGCTTTATTATTTAAAGCAACCAACCTCGATTTATTCTGTATCATAAAGCTACTTTTCTACTCGCATATCCTTAATTTATCGATTGCTTGATTAATTAATTCACTAATCAGATTTTGTTTGTCTACTTTTTGTTTGTTAATTCCGTAAAGATACACAAGAAGAGGCAGCGGCAGCGTATGATATGGCGGCGATACAGTATAGAGGAGCAAATGCGGTGACCAATTTTGATGTTAGCAATTACATAGAACGGTTGAGGAAGAAAGGCATCCCTATAGACCGAATCCTCCAAGAACAACAACTTCTTAACAACTCGATTGATTCCAGCGTGGAAGTGGAAGTGGAAGTTGAACAACCAACACCACCACCACAACAACAAGAGGAACAAGAACAAAAGATAGTCTCGTCGTCTTCGCAACTTCAATGTTCACAGCTAAATTCAAGCTTGGCTGGCACGCCTCCTATGGTAATTATGGACACTATTGAAGAGCACGAGCTAGCATGGAGCTTTTGTATGGATTCAGGATTGAGCCTCACAATGCCCGATCTTCCTCTCGAAAAATCCTGCGAGTTACCGGACTTGTTCGATCATACAGGGTTTGAAGACAACATTGACTTGATATTTGATGCATGTTGCTATGGAAATGAGGCCAATCCGGCTGGCTACATATTAGAAGATAATAGCACAGGAGGAGTTGAAGAGGTTGGTGTTACAAGGAGCATTGACGAGGAAAGTGAAAGTGGGAAGGACAGGTTGTTGTCTGATTCTGTCTCAAATTCTCCAACTAGTTCAACAACCACCTCTGTTTCTTGTAACTATTCTGTTTGAGTGTTTCTTGGACTTCCAGGCCTGGGGATTGTTAAGGTTTGTTTAGATTTTGCTTTGTTGGGTTCTGTTGCGGGTGGATGGGGAGGCGGGGAAAAAAAGAGGATCAAAATATCCTTAGTTTTTCATTTTTCATGTTTGTTTTCTCTTAATTACTTTAAAAGAAAATGAGTTAAAAAGTTTTTTTAAAAAAAGTTTCAATAATTTTTTTCCATTTTCGATTTTCTGAGCTGATTTTTCTCCTTATAAACTTAGGGAGGAATATGGCTGGTCTCTCTGTTTAAGTATAGTTACTCACTAAAAATACTCTGAAGAACATTCTAAAATTTCCCTGTAATTTCTTGCTATTTTTCTAATACACTACAATCTTGAAAAGAAATTCCCTGACATGTAATTTTCTATATCAATTAGAATTCAATAAAATCTTCACCTTCTAGTAAATTACTTCAACAATTTCACGAGCATGTATGCATCTTGATTTAGCCTAGTGAAAAGGGCAAGATGAGATTAAAAACAAAGATCTTTATTCTTAGATCCTCACCATCTAAATGACTTGAATTTATCAAATAAGATAAACAAAAATTCTTCTTATGGAAAAAAATGATGCGCCCATGGGCCTGGATCGGGCTCTAAGCAAACCACCCAAAATCCATACTTGTAGTTGTTGGGGTTGGAAATTTGTAAGTAGTTAAGAAGGAAAGGATGAGAATGATCGAGTGGCTTCAAGGCTCAAGCTATGTACAATGCTCGCCAACAATGGGCACCAGTTTATTTTCGTAGCACTTTCTTTGCTGCCCTTTCTTCAAATCATGGTGTCAGCTCCTTCTTTGACGGGCATGTGAATCAACAGACCGCAATACCTTTGTTCTTTAAACAGTATGAACTTGCGCTCGAACATTCTCTGGAAAAGGAAATAGAAGCAGCCTACGATACAATTTGCACCACTCCTGTACTTAAGACGCCATCGCCAATGGAACAACAGGCTGCAAATATTTATACCAAGCAAGTATTCGCAAAGTTTTATGAAGAACTAGTTGAAGCTTTTGTATATACAGCAAATAAGATTGAGCGAGATGGGATGGCCACCAAGTACAGGGTTGCAAAATATGAGCATGATGACAGGGCATACAAAGTGACGTTGAGAACATCTGACATGCAAGCAAGTTACTATGTCTGTAAGCAAGAGTTATATAATCTGTTAGAATTCCTTTGGGTGAGCTGAGCCCGAATTGAGTCACAATTCAATTTCAGTTCATACTGTTCAGGTCCTGCCCACCTCACCGCTCGCACTTGCCAGGAAATGCTGGCTCACCCCTGAAGTGCAGGAACTTGTGTGTTTTTGTGCTTTTTAAAAGTGTATTTGTTTTTTAAAAAATATTAAATTGATTTTTTTAATTATTTTTTTATGGTTTTGATGTACTAATAATTTTTTTTATTCAAAATAATGTTATGCTGTAATTGATCACGTGGTGATTAAGGGAGAAAAAAACCCATCTAATCAATAATTTGTTTATAAATTCTCTTTTTCTGAAAAAAAAACTCTTAATTTTAATTATTCATTACAAAACTTGTATGTGTGTGTGTGTGTGTTTGTGTTTACCAAGCATTCCTTAGATTCATTAAGCTTCATGGATTGATTGTTATCCTTGATGAAGTCATGATACCAGTTTCACTACCACTGATCAATCCTTGGTTCCCGCACAAATTCATAAGGTCTGTCAATGCTTTAGTCACATTGAAGAGAAGGGTAATCGATCAAAAAGCTTTTCTTTGCCATTCATCAGAGTTGATTGGCAAATAAGAAATCCTGTTGTCGTCCTGATATAATATTGCATGATATTTTACAGCCTTGCGATCCCCTTCTCTTGATTGAACTGTCTCCTTGAATGTAACATGTTGCAGATGCTTTTTTTTCTTTTTTTTCACCCCAGAAGGCGAGCTGAGGCAACTAAATCCAGGTGCATGAGAAGCAACATTGATCTTAGAAGTTATGGGTGCCAATATGGGAGACTAGATGGAGGATTTGGAGGCCACAGAAGCTGAAGAGTTAAGCTGGCTGGATGTAACAATCACCAGCGAGCAAGTGAATCATGATGTACAAAATACCGATGATTCCAACGAGAGTACTGACAACAGAAGCGGCGATCTCACGAAAGGTCTTGATGGGGATGATTATTTGTATTAACCCACTTATTTTGTCATAGGATAGAAAATTGTAGAGTTCATATAATTGCCTTGAATCTATTTTGAACCGAGTTCATGTAGCAAGAATTGCTAAATCAAGGGAAATATCCTGATTACGTTGAATGGAAATATAGAATTTTGGATCTTGCACGATTTCATTTTGTTCTAAGAATTTGTGTAAATTTTACAAAGCTACATAGTGGATGGGCACAAATTCATCTGCAAGTTCAAAACCACCGTAGCTTCCAACTCCGATTATGCCTATTTTCAAAAAAAATTTGGTGAGCCAAATGCAAGATTATAGGAGAAGATTAGCAGGTGAGTTGAGCCTGACCATATGGATACATGATGGAACATTACTAAGATCTCCTGAAAAGCTGTACCTGAATTAACAGCTGCATCTTGTTTTTCTGTTTATGAAGTGAAACCTGTTCAAGCATCAAGCATGGTTATGTTCCCTGATATCTATGCTTCTACTGGTTTAGTATCCATCAGACTGAGAAAGTTCCTAACTTCAGCAAATTAAGAAACAAAATTTCTTTTACCTCATTTAGTCACAATCTCTATTGCCTGAATAGCATTAGCTAAAAGAAAGACTTTGAAAAAAACAAAAAGCATATCTGGAATGATGGTAGTGGGAAAAAAAAAAAAACATAGCTGGAAAGATGGTGGTGAAGGCAGAAAGTGGGAAAATTATTGTTGCCGAAGAGATGAGAGGACCACATCCTGAAGCGAACTGTCCCTTTTCATTGCAGCTTTGAACTCATCAAAGGTGACTTTTCCATCACTGTTGGCATCCATCCTATCAAATATCTCGTCCAATTTCCCCGGTTCTGCTATATCTGCTGGAAGGCAGTCCTCGGGCAAAGCCTGCTCGAAAAACATTCTATATGTCATCTAATCTTGGAAGCAATTTAAACTTTTCAAGTTATAAAAATTGTTAGGGAAGCAGCTTACTCTGAGCATTGATGCTACTTCTTCCTTCGTGATGCACCCGGATCGGTCTGTATCATACATCTGTTGGCCGAAAGGCAGAAAGTGGGAAAATTATTTTCTTGTTGATGTTGCAAGTTGGAGGGAAATCAGGGAACAGAGCATACCTGGAAGCACAGACGGAGAGCATCATCCCCTTGAGAGTTCCTGAGGCTGGAGAAACCACAAAGAATCTCCCTCATGTCAACTGTTCCATCCCGGTTGTTGTCAAATAGATCGAAGATGCGGGGTGCCATAGGGATCAGTAACGACATGTTCATTGCTTTCAGCACCTCCTCGAATTCGGATAGAGTAGCATTATCACCTTTTGCACACCTGCACACATATATTTCCCGTTAGAATATGAAAAATTGATAATAGGGCAATCAAAATGTTAAAGCTTCTTTATGCAATTTATCAGCGGTCAAATGCTGATAAACCTAAAACTCTACGCAAACTGAACTAAAACTTCGGGGCACGAAATAGTTTGAGTACTCACAATTTGGAAAAATGTAGCCTGAGTTTCTCGATTTCATCCTCCTTGAGGTCATGTGATCCTAGTAAAGATTTCAACTTTTTGGTTCTTAAGAAAATTGTGCTACTCCACACACTGGCTATTGCTGCAGCTCGGAATTTGCGACGGGCATTGAAACTCTGCAGCCTTGAGACAATCTCGGGGTCCATTTGTTCCTCTTTTGCAGAATCCCCTATCACCCAAGGATGATTTAAAACCTGTCACCACATGCAGTATGTTTTTTTAGAGGAGGCTTTCGATAATAATAGGAAAAGACCAATAAGTTAAGGCTTTGGGAATCTGTACATCATGAGCACTCGGTCTCCTTTCGGGATCAACTTGCAGGAGATCAGTGATCAGTTGTTTTGCTGATGAAGTAATGTTCTTCCACGTCTTCTCATAGAAAGTGAAATCACCCTGCATAGCAAATCATTTGCCTTTCAGAAACATCGAAGTAGGATAAACTGAACAGTGAAGAAAATGATCTAGCTTTGGTGGAGGCAAGAAAATATCAACATACAGCCAGTATCACTTGTTGTTTCTGCTTGTTGGACTGAGCAATGAAAGGCGGGTACCTGGAATATCGAAGGAAGAAAACAAAAAAAACTGAGAACTTGAACCGAAAATCGGCATCTTGATCGTTGACTTATGGCAACAAATGATAGGGTACAATTTGAGACACGAGAAAATTAACTCACCCTGAGAGCAGGATATACAAGATTACTCCCAAAGACCACATATCAGTTTTAGAGCTATTTCTGCCTTGAGAAAGAGCTTCTGGTGAGACATAATCAATGGAACCAAACAACCCTACTACTGGATCGGTGAACTCTTCCACAGAACTCAATCCAAAGTCCATAATCTTCAGAGTAGAATCATCGTTTTCATTCAAGAAAAGACAGTTCTCTGGCTTCAAGTCTCTATGAACAATATTAGCCCTGTGAAGAGCTCCCAGACCTTCTGCAATCTGCCTAACCACAGCTGCTGCTTCACTCTCAGAGTACCTGTCTCGAGCGACAATTCTGTCAAACAGCTCTCCACCAGAACAAAGCTCCAACACAAGATGCACCCCATTTTGATCCTCATAAACATCATAGAGGTCAATCACATTCGGATGCGGCGATACATTTTCTACTATCTTTCTCATAACCAATATTTCATTTGTAAGTAAAGCATCAGATACTGAAACCTGCCTCCATGTTGGGAATTTGAAAGAAGAAATGCTTCTCTCACCATCACCGCGAGATCTCGGAATTCCTGATGGAGTTGACGGGCCTAATCTTTTCAATGTCTTGATGGCCACCTGCCTCCTATCTCCACTTGTCTTCAGTATACCTCTCCTGACAACTGAGAACCCACCTCTTCCTAGAATGTCTGAAACTTCATATTCATCTGAAAGTTTTCTTGTTTCCTGTCCC